GACCGCGTTCGCGTGGTACTATAAAAGTAGCTATGTTATCCCAGACACTCCAAATATCATCCCCAATCCCTTCAGCCGTTATTGACGTGAAGGAGTCACAAACAAAATTTCGGATTTATAAAGTAGGAGGAGGACGATAGTAGGATTATGTAGGTATTCTTGTCATCATCATCATCATCATCAACAGCCGAAAGACGTCCACTGCTGGACAAAGGCCTCCCCCTCAGTCCTCCACGTCGAACGACAACTCGCCACCTGCATCCACTGGCTCCCCGCAACTCTGGCGATGTCGTCGGTCCACCTAGCGGAAGGCCTGCCCACGCTTCGTCTTCCGGTCCTTGGTCTCCACTCAAGGACTTGGTATTGTTGTAACAGGTAAAAAAATTATGGTATAGCGTGGCAAACGGTATCGCCTGATGGTAAGCAATCGACGCCGCTCATGGGTGTCCATGAGCGGCGTTTAACTTTAGCTTTTTTTTTATTCAAAAAATCATCCAATGATAAAAAAGCGAAAGAAGATCGTTATAAGCATGGTTTTATTAAAGTGCCTAATTGGTGTTAAATCGTCATAATAATAGATAATAACTAAAAGAACTAAAATACGATAGTCACTCTTCTATTTAAGAACCCCAAACAATTTATAAATAAAGCAATATCAATAAATAAATATTTAGCGCTGAACAAAACGCGTTAGCAAATTAATTCTTCGCTTCGTTTCACATAAAAAGGCCGGACAGAATTAAATCACGACTAACGCCATCTAGTGACGGTTCTCATGAATACAACATGATCTTCTGACTACTAGATGGCGGTGTTACAAATTTATCGCCACTTTTATTGTTACGACCACTTTGGCCGCGTTTCGCGGGCTTTTAGCTAAATTACTCTCATTACTTACATACTACGTTAACATATTGGTGTTTGTGTAATGCGCAGCGATTTAAGCGCTTCTTCTTTTTGTTAGATGGTACCTGTAAATGTGACAAAAATCTGTTTTATCTGGTAAAATGGTCCATCAATTAATGATGATCTGTTAGTGAGCGGTATTGAATTGCGTTCTAACATGATATGAATAACTGTTATTTCTCACTTTCAATGGAGAATTCATACAAAATTTTACAGAACAAAATCGAAAATGTGTCATTTTCAGCGCCGCTTTTCTCTACTTCAGCGGCTAAGAATCCCAAATACACACGATAAACACAAACAAATCGCACAGATAACATTTGCCGTCGTAATTTGGCTAATGTATCATAAACATTTTTGCTTCATCTGTTTCACTAGGCTGAGTGGGCAGTTACCGTTGCCCGGCGGCGCGGAAGAATATATGCCCTTTGTTTATGGTATGTGTTGATATTCAAAGCGCGTAATTTGTAGGGATAGTCATAGGTACTTAGTTATGACGCATTTATTTTTTTATTATTCATACTATTGGGAAATAAATGTTGTTATTATTTATATATCAGCTTATAGACATATAATCGATGATGTAAAATATACTGCATATAATGCATTTCTAACGATTAAATTGAAAATAAATCTTCAAAGAAAGAGGGCTCAATTTTTTCCACCGTCGCCATTAGGTACTCAGTACGTTTATACTAAAGAATTAACCAGACTTCCTATCATTTATGTACTTAAGATAAAATCTATATATATAAAAGAAAGTCGTGTTAGTTACACTATTTATAACTCAAGAACGCCTCAATCGATTTAGATGAAAATTGGGAGGGAGGTAGCTTAGAACCAGGAAACGGACATAGGATACTTTTTATACAATACTATTTTTTTACTTTTTACCGAAAATCACGAACGGGAACGGGGGGAAAATGGGATTGCGCGTACGAAGTCGCGGGCAGAAGCTAGTATGATATAAACAGGAAAGATAGATTTGGTCAAGAACAAATGTACCTAGCTGTAGTTCTTTGACGTCTTAAACAAGCCACAGCAGAATACTAGTCAGATAGCATCCCTTATTTAAAGATTCCAACAGTAATAACGCTAACAGAAAATACTACAAAATGGCTATAAAGCAAAATATTACAGTTAACTGAGTAGGCACAGCACCTCAATTTAACATATTCACTTAATACATTCAGCTACCCACCCAAGCACCGCATTCACAGACAATTTGACAAACTTTTAACCGACGATATGTTGATAGTATGGTGTTTTTATGTAAATCCACCGATGTACGACTACGACGGACGTTCGGATTTCTTAAGCGGCTGAATTAAAGTGTGTTTGGAGATTGTCTAGAGTTGTTAAAACCATTGAAATTGGTTTTTTATTTAATTCTGAGGTGGCTTCAGGATAGTAGAACAGGGTAGAAACTAGAAAGATAACATGTTTTTTTATAGCATAAGCCGGTAAACGAGCAGAGCTTTTTTCAGTATATTCACATGAGTAACCCGCAATTTTAGTTAATTTAGTATGTCTCACGATAGTTATTATAAAAACGATGTTATCTTTTGTTCTAAATTACACACACACACACACACACATTAATCAACAAGTAAGTACCTAGTTATCATCAGTATTAGCAAAATAGTTGCATTGAAATAGTGAACTATGTAGAGAACTTACTTCATTGTTTCTTGTTTGAGTAAATTACCTCGTTAGATATGAAAATAGATCGTAACTCTGCATCCTAGATAACCCCTCAAAATAGCAAAACTGTTAAAAAAATACGTTTGTTTCGATCTAATCAACAAAGTAGACCTCGTTTTCAGTACGTACGCGCCCAACGAGGCAATCACGAAAAACAATCTTCAAATATTTGCCATAGATCTATAACTCTATATACTTCCGGCTGAATTTAATCTGTATAATGTTTTCCGATTTCCAACTTGACTTGTGGCAGGCACTTATATACAACGAATCTTTATTTGCTGTCAACACAAGCCAAATTGGACCTTATTGTAATAGATTTCGGCATTTATTTTATATCTGGAGTGCAAAAAAAAGATTGTAAATGATCCTTTTCAAATATTTTAATGGCGGTCGAAAGCGCTCGCAAATCGGCCATATTGGATTGGTTTTCCCGCTTCTTTTGTATTGATTTGAATTCGTTAACTTGTTATTTTCGTTGGATTGGTTATGTCTGTGTGATTTCATTTAAATTAGTCTTGGAAATAATGGTTTTATTTCTTTCATATAAGTCAATATTAACACAATATTATTACTTTGTTCGGATCAATAGAAAATGTATCATAACGTCACGTACTTAGATATGTTAATCCCCCAACTGCTAAACACACTAAATACCGAATATTGAGAGGCTACTCAATTTTACGTTGGACTTAATTATCGTGCTATCTCTGTCGTTTTAGAATGAATTTGTAGTGACTTATTAAACGTTGGTTAACCTATAATTGGCGACTGTATAACCCTAAATACTTAATGTTACTTTCATATCACTTAATGCTATGTATACTTCGGAGTCGCGGAGAATTTAACGGGTAACCGGGGCTCCGGCTCGACGTGCAGGAGAAGGAACGGGGTGGTTATTAGTCAGTAAGAGTCTGACACTCCCTTCCGCCTCACCCAGGCGGGAGCAGTCATTCGATGATTTTCCCCCCTTAAAAAAAATGCTATGTATACAGAAGCTGTCGGTATACCTATTTAAATAAATAAATAAATTTCGTAGTGACCTAAAATTGATTGTTTTTTGAGTATTTGGACATAAGGTGCACAGAATCTTATACCCACTATTATCCAGTTATGATGAGCCCCGTGTAATAGACTAATAGAGGACAATAGTCAAGTGTACTGTACACTTTACTACACTCCTGGGCTACACTACACTGTACTGCATTCATACTTGACTATTCTCAGTTATTCTGTATGATATCGGCTGTTTATTGTATAAATAAGGTTTTAAATAATGTACCTCGACGAAGAAAAGAGCCAAAGAGAGACAAAGTCATAATTCTTACGAGAGGTCCGAGTGTCCAACGGCGAACGAAGGTCCGAGGTCCGCAATAAAGGAGGTTAATTATATCGAAAGTATAGATTATGGATTAAAGATGGAGATTTAATGGCGTCTCGTTAAAATGGCATCGCATCTTCTCTTGTAGTCTATGAAATATTATTTTATGGCTCAATCTCAGTGCCTTTACCGATCTTATAGCAATCACTATAAAGATAATATTACTCGTAAACTGTTGAGTCTCATAACGCTATAAACGTTGGGATATTAGGTAGACCATTATTATTTTTATGGTTGGAAAAGTAGATGGTACCCATTTTTCAATTAATAAATAATTATTTTCCATAATAGTTACTTTCTTGCTCTAATTCATTTATTGCGAAAAAGTATTGAGGTTAAATGAAGCTGCTGTAGATAAGAATATTATTTTAAAATGCTGTCTTTAAACTGTCAAACACCAAGCGGTCACCGGTGACCGCAACCTATTGTTCTTTAATTGTGTCTATAAATACGGTACTCGACGAGTTAATTGGGAAATAATGCCTTTCTTAATTAGTTTAATTATGGTTATTGGTTTTTAAATAACATACTAAGCAAAATACTAACCAATGAAATGAACCATGACCCAAGACGTTGAAAAAATTACCCATACCCATTAAACGGGCATTTTCGTCTGGGAACCTAAACGTAAACGCCATCTATATTTGAAGCTGCGAAATAAAACATGAAACACTGTTCTATTCGAGTTCTACCATAGACAAAGCATATTGAACATTTGAAATTTACAGGTACACGCATAGATGTCGCTGCCCTGTCAGTTCAATGCTATCTGTCAAATAAGTATTACCCGGCCAATTTAAAATAGTCATTACTATGTGGTAAAATAACCGTTTAAAAAGTATTTTTAATTTACTCACATTATATACCTAACAAACTTTAGTTTCGTAAAAGTTAGCGAGAGAGAAACATGTTCCGCTTTAATTAAAATTTAATCGTTTATTCACTTTAAATGTTATGAAAACAATGTAAAGTGTAAATAAATACGTGATATTTACTGTGTTAGTGTTTTATGTGCAAAATGAAAGTTATTGAAGCGAAAATTGTAGTTTTAGGATCACAAGGTACGTTGATTAGGTTTTTATTTCTTTCAACTTGAATGTCGTAATAAATTGTACTGCGAATCAATAATTTGGATATCGTTTTGATATCAGTGATTTCGTCATAAAGTCTGGAATTCGAGGTGAAGAACATAAAATAAACAATAGACTTTATCTACAACAACTTTAACTTTTTAAAAGTTTATTGTGTCCATTTGTTTATTATTGTATTGTCCGATTAGTGATTAGTTACGAAACATTTGAATAGAGAATCTGTTGTGCGGAAAAAAACTTGATTATGATCTATGCCGAGCAAGGCGTAGTAGAAAAAAATAGTATATAGAAATTGAATCTAGAACAAACTAAATGGATAGACAATGAATTTTACATTTTTAACAATTTGAACTGTTAAATAATTAAATCAATTATTACATTATTTGTTTAACATGGTTTCTATATTGAATTACATTTACACAAACATACAATAACAAACGAAAATATAATCTAACAATACAAAAAGAACAACTATAAAAAGATCAAGAAAATCAAGATTTAATATTACCTAGCAGATAAAATAATAAAAATTGTTGAAAGAAATGAAATTAGAAAATAAAACAAACATTAAATCCAGTCTACAAAACCTAATTATGTTTGACCTACCATAACTTCTTGCAGAACTTGTTTGAAAAACTTATTTTTAAACATTTTGTAATATCTACTTAGTTAACTCATTGAGTATCGTCATTATAGACACAATTAAAGAACAATAGGTTGCAGTCACCGGTGACCGCTTGGTGTTTGACAGTTTAATAAGTAATAATCATTCCAATATAATACGTAATAATGCATATGTAACAAACAGCATAAGGTATTTACATTTTATTACCCGTTGAAATCCATCCCCTAAATTTGGTCATACAAAAGTAGTCTCTAAACACTGGAAATAAGGTCTATAATGTAATGTAATATTAGTGGAGAGCGGTCACCGGTGACCGCTTGGGGATCTATGGGTTGAGACAAACAAGATAAGACTGCCTCGTTGGCCGAGTGGTCGTAAGTGCGACTGCCGGGTAAGGGGTCTCGGGTTTGATTCCCGGGTCGGGCAAAGTATTACTGGGTTTAAAAAAATCTCAGTAGTAGCATGGAGTCTGGAATTGTGCCCGGTATATGGCAATAGCCTCACCCCCTATTACATGGGACTCATAACATAAATAGCGAAAAGTGAGTGTGACATTGTACAGTGGTATAATGTGCACCTCTGCCTACCCCTTCAGGGATATAAGACGTGATGTTATGAAGACAAACAAGATAATTGCCAAATATCATTGAAATAGACATATTTATTTGGAATTATGGAGCTTCTTGCTCGTTCTTCTCCATTCGAATCTACATTTTGGAATGAGCACCTAGCTTCACCTAGCTTCACTGATGGACTGACTGACAAACTATTATTTATTTTGTATTTGTTGACGTTTCAAAATTACCAAATTATGGTTTAATTGAAATTAATGCTTTGACTTTGAATGTCTAGTGGTTTCAAAGGTATGTCTTTGTATGTTAGAAGTGGCTCAATGTTTTTGGTTGTGCGGTAATAAAAATGGCCTCAACTCAATGCCAAATATATACTTTATTTAATACTATATTTAATAACTACTAAAGATCATAACACACTTAATAAGCACGGCTCTGGCAACAATGCTTTTTAACGGGCGGCGTGCTTACAGTTTTTTTATTTATTTATTACTAGCTTTTACCCGCGGCTTCACTCGGTTCACAAAAGGATAAAAAGTAGCCTATGTGACATATACCAATACACACAGCGCCATCTATACCAATACTTTTGTTGTCCCTCGGGAATATCACATTTTTCCGGGATAAAAAGTACCCTATGATGTGTTTGTTTGTTCCGCTTTCACGCCGTAACTACTAAACCGATTGCTTTGAATTTTTACAGACGTAAAGTTAGAAGTCCGGATTAAATAATAGGGTACATTTTATCCCGGAAAATTTTGATATTCCCGAGGGAAAACAAAAGTCAATACTTTTTACAGTATAGAGTGTGCTGTGTGTATTGGTATTGGTATAATATATGTCACAGGCTACTTTTTATCTTTTTGTAACGCGAGCGAAGCCACGGGTAAAAGCTAGTTTATAAATAAACAAATTCCACTTTTCCTTCCTGTTTAAATAAGATAACATAGGTATAGGTACATGTAGATAATAGTAGTTATTATATATGTATAATTATGTATCTAAATACATTATCTATTGACTAATGAAGCAGATATAAAATAAAAACAATTAAAAAATATTATTAGTCTTGCTATAACTAAACCGGGCAAGATTCCAAACTGTATGATATTTCCAAGCACTGAAAAAATTAAAAAGATACTGAGAAATTACTCCGTTTAAAAAAACCGACTCTCCGACCTCTCTTTATTTGAAGTCGGTTAATTAATGTACTTAAAACCTTCTCCTAAGTGTAACAAACACTTTTCTGTAAACGACATCAAAATCGGCTCAACAATAAGTGTCTCCCTCACTTATTGTGTATGTGTGTATACGAATGGGCCGGCTCGACCGGAGTGATACTACACGGCCTCACAGAAAACTGACGTGAAACAACGCTTGCGTTGTGTTTCGTCGTGTGAGTGAGATTACCGGAGGCCCTTCCCCAATCTCCCCAATTCCTGAATCCCCAACGATCCTCAAACTCCTAATCCCCAAAAGGCCGATAACGCACTTGTAACGCCTCCGGTGTTCCAGGTGTCCATGGGCGACGCCGATTGCTTACCATCAGGTGATCCGTCTGTCCGAAAAAAACAATCGGGAGACGCGCACAAACACATACATACAGGTTAAACTATGAGAACCTCATTCTTTGCTTTTTGAAGTAGGTAAAAGTAATGAAAGTACAAAATACAAACTGCAAGGTCGTATAAAAAATGAATCAGTAATATCAGTATGCTTTACTCATACTCGCCTTTGAAAAAATACATTATTTTCTTAGGCCTCAAGATTGATTTTCGCATATCCAGTCTTTCCGACCTGACCATGGGCCCTTATCATGTCTTAACACTATGATAAGATAATATATATTAAAAAGTGATTACTGTACTGCATCATTAGGTGTTCCATTAACTTTGTAAATGAATTTTAATTAATATATTGATAATGAAGAATTAATTTTGAATATTTTATAGATAACTATATAGTGTGGGAAATTAAGATATGGTATTGTTTTTGTTGATAATATTATTTGTTGTCAATAGCCTTTTGTTAGTATTTAGTATCTAGGTCAGTTTTAAATACAAAATTATATAGGTAATTGGACTTCCGTCCGGTAACCTCACTCACACGACACAACGGAAGCGTTGTTTCACGTCGGTTTCCTGCTCATTGATGGTATCACTCCGGTCGATCCGGCCCATTCGTACCGAAGCATGGCTCTCCAACACTTGTTTCACGTCGGTTTTGTGTGAGACCGTGGTATCACTCCGGTCGATCCGGCCAATTCGTACCGAAGCATGACTCTCCAACACTTATTTCACGTCGGTTTTCTGTGCGGCCGTGGTATCACTCCGGTCGAGCCGGCCCATTCGTGCCGAAAGATGGCTCTCCAACACTTGTATCACGTCAGTTTTCTGCTTGGCCGTGGTATGACTCCGGTCGAACCGGCCTATTCGTGCCGAAGTATGACTCTCCAACACTTGTTTCACGTCGGTTTTCTGCTCGGCCGTGGTATCACTCCGATCGAACCGGTTCATTCGTGCCGAAGTATGACTCTCCAACACTTGTTTTACGTCGGTTTCCTGCTCGTTGATGGTATCACTCTGGTCGAACCGGCCCATTCGTGCCGAAGCATAATTCTCCCACGCTTGTTTCTCGTCAGTTTTGTGTGAGGCCGTGGTATCAGTCCGGTCGAACCGGCTCATTCGTGCCGAAGTATGAATCTCCAACACTTGTTTCACGTCGGTTTCCTTCTCGTTGATGGTATCACTCTGGTCGAGCCGGCCCATTCGTGCCGATGCATGTCTCTCCCACTTCTTTGACGTCGGTTTTGTGTTCGTTGATGGTATCACTCCGGTCGAGCCGGTCCATTACTGCTGAAACATGGCTTTCCCACACCTGTTTCATATCGGTTTTCTATTAATTTAAAATACATTAATAGGCTAAGTTTTTTTAAAGAAGTAGGTAAAAAGTAAAATAAATAATATACATAGGCAGTAAGATATAATCACATACATAAAACTATAACTTGGTTGCACTTCGAAACCCAGTTCGACAGAGCGTTAAGCCGTAACGCTCAGCTACATGATACCTCCTTTACATTCAAGTCGGTCAAGGAAGTCTTCCATCTATGTAAGATGGTGTGTGCAATATTGAATTTAATACTAGGTAAAATTTTTGAATTTGGTATCCGGTTTAATACTTAGGTTTAGTTAAAAATTTTAAAGAATTGCAAATCAGTAGGCTGCCTCTTTGCCTCAGCCAAGAATACATAAATTAGCCGATGTTTGACCACTATCTCGCTTGGTCGTAAGCGATGATGCGGTCTACGATGGAGCACGTCGACCCATAAGCAACCTATTCACTCGGGCCTTGAAGACACCCAGGTTATACCTTTCAGGAAATACAGTCTCTGGCAAAGAATTCCATTCCTTAGCAGTACGCACAAGGAAACTTGATGCGAAGCAAAGCGAAGCCTGCCGATTTCGCCTAACATATTATAAGGCGACAATGCGCGCCTCATCTCATGTCCACAGTGATGTTGCCAGTTGCCAGACATGTCGACCAGTCTGGCAACGTCGCGCTACTCCACCCAACGTCGCGTCGTCGGTGGCGATACGTGTTGTAGAACTGGCAGGACATTTGTCTCTTAGATGATTCCTGGGATTTAGTGTCGTCAAATACGACTGACAACAGAGGGTTTCGGTCGATTTGGCAATGTTTAAACTGTCAAACACCGCGAGGACACCGGTGACCGCAAACTATTGTTCTTTAATTGTGTCTATAATGACGGTACTCAAAGGGTTAAGTAAGTTTCGGTTTGTAGATTTTTTTAATAATAGCATGAAGTTTGCTATTATTAAAAAAATCTAATGGTCGTGGTGGCCCGGAGGTATAAGACGCCTGCTTCTCATGCATGATAGTACGGGTTCGAAACCTACCAACGGCAAGTACCAATGTGACTTTTTAGGTAGTTATATGTACCTACTTTCTAAGATTATTTAGACACCACTTACAAACGATGATGGAAAACATCGTGAGGAAACCTAAGCTTATAATTTCTAATTATAAGTTTGAAATCGCCAACCCACAGCATTAATCACCACGCTTGCTCAAAGCGTGGTGATTAATACTCAAACCTTCTCCGTGTGAGAAGAGGTTTTGCTCAGCAGTGGGCATTTATAGGATCTCTTAGTGTACTTAGGATACTTGCGTATAGCAGTCAGGTCATTGGATGAATTTACCCCCTCAAAAAAATATAGTGGACTGTCAGTGAATGAAACAATGACACATAGGACCATTGATCTAACTTAGCGAAACAAGACGAACTCCGAGATAAATATTGACAATATAATCGCTAGGATATATTACTGGCGTGGACTACTGTTTGTTATCTTACGTGTTATCTGATTAGATTAAAGACAAAGGGTAGACAGAGGTATTTGAAATGTGTACAGTGTAAAATGTTCTTCACTGTGTTGTGTGAAGGGTTGAAAGTCATGTGAATAACGCCTGTATACTGAAAGGTTACTCAATTTTATTTTGTACTTAAATATCGTCCTATCTCTGTCATTTTATAGAGAACTAGCTTTTACCCGCGACTTCGCTCGCGTCACAAAAGGATAAAAAAGGCCTATGTGACATATACCAATACACATAGCGCCATCTATACCAATACTTTTGTTTTCCCTCGGGAATACCAAATTTTTCAGGGATAAAATGTACCCTATTATTTAATCCGGACTTCTAACTTTACGTCTGCAAAAATTCAAAGCAATCGGTTCAGTAGTTACGGCGTGAAATCGGAACAAACAAACATACTAACTCACTTTCCGATTTATAATATTAGTAAGGATAAGGATTGTAAATTAAGTTGCAATGATGCTCATGAATAACCCCTAGCGTGTCTTGAAACTAGTTCAACGAATAACTTAACGAGTTATTGTGGCTCCGGCGGAGTAGGAACGGTTTAGTCAGTAAGAGTTTGACACTCTTTCTCCCCTCACCTAAGGCTGGAGGAACCATTGGATGATTTCCCCCATGTTAAAAAATAGAACAGTATAGGCATCTTACAATGGGCACGGGGAAATGCAGGAATGTGGGAAAGAAATATTTAGTTCGGTGCTTACTGTACTGCGGACAAAAGCAAGCTTAGAGTGTTTCCATATTACATCATATTATATCATTACCATAATGATTTCACTAACCGGTTTCACAGGTACACGTGCCGCCGGCTTGCGCTAAAATGACCGAAGTTCGATACATTGAGATTCCATTAGTATAGGATTAGTATAGGAAGGCTATCTCATATATATGGGACATGCGATAAAACACGCTTGACTGCTCTGTTGGCACGGTGGCTGGGTAACTGGCTGCCGTGCAATATGCGAGTTCGATTCTCTCACGGAACAACTCTTTGTGTGATCCAAAAATTGTTGTTTCGGGTCTGGGTGGCATGTGTATGTGAGCTTGTATGTTTGTAAACGCACCCACGACACAGGAGAAAATCCTAGTGTGGGGCAACGATTTCTTTAAAAAAAGGTGTTTGTCCCATGAAGGGAAGGACTAAAATTTGAATTTACTGCAAAATCCAACTTCTTTCAATTGATCTAGCATTTTAACAGAAGTTGAAATAAGACTGATATTAGAAGGACCGATCTTTATGCAAAGAGTTTGGATTTGGGCGCTGGTAGTCATAAAAACCGACCACAGATACCTATTAAAATAAGTTTTTAATATTTCTGTGAAACTGGCTAAGATACTACAAGTTTTATAGAGACCGGGCAGCAGCGCTTTCTGATAAACCTGAACCTTTTAAACCGCTATCTCCAACCCGTCTTCTAGGATCCCTCGTCCTGCCTCGTTGGCCGAGTGGTCGCAAGTGCGATTCCTGGGTCAGGAAAAGTATTACTGGGTTTTTTAAAAATCTCAGTAGTAGCACGGAGTCTGGAAATGTGCCCGGTATATGGCAATATTCTCACCCCCTATTACATGGGACTCATAACATAAATAGTAAAAAGTGGGTGTTTCATTGTACAGTGGCATTAAGTGCCGTAATGTGCACCTCTGCGTACCCCGTTCAGGGATAAAAGGCATGATGTTATGTTATGTCTTCTAGGATCCCTCTTATGTAGAGGAGGCCCATAAAGTCCAGCAGTAGGCTGTCATCATCACGCACCACCAGGCTAGTGGCCAATCGTCATCCCATCAAATATTTATAAAAAAAGACTGGTCATAAACTGTTGACAATAATAACCCAGACCCAAAACTGCCCAACATGGTGAATCAATCGTTTTTGAATACTGGTTAGCATAGTAACATAGATACTTATTCAAATATACATATCTGTATAGTGTTACCTGCCAAAACCAGTTCCCAACATTTTTTGTTTATATCTTAACCAAATTCTGATGTAACTATAAACTGGTTTCTCCAACTTTAAAACCGTCTAGTTTTTATAATGACTACTGACCTACTTTTTTATCTAAATGTGTTTGGTTTCGATGCCTGAGTAGTTAGTTGATATCAAAAATAACTAATCTTCTAGAATTTGAAATGGTCATCTGTTTGGTGTAAGAAGTCGTTGTAGATTCAATTTCCAAATCGTGCTAACTTTTATGTATGGGATTTTTTTTTTTTTAAGGGGGGAAAATCATCGAATGTCTGCTCCCGCCTGGGTGAGGCGGGAGGGAGTGTCAGACTCTAACTGACTAAAAACCACCCCGTTCCTTCTCCTGCACGTCGAGCCGGAGCCCCGGTTACCCGTTAGGTTCTCCGCGACTCTATTTATGGGATAGGAGTATAGGATGGCAAACAAGCAAAAGAATCACCTGATGGTAAGCAATCGGCACAGCCTATGGACACCCAAAACGCTAGAAGATTTACAAGTGCAATACTGGCCTTTTGGGGATTGAGAACATGAGATGGGAGGTAGGATCGGGCTCCAGTAACCTCAATCACACAACGCTTCGGTTATATCACGCTGGTTTACTGTGAGGCTGTGGTATCACTCCGGTCAAGCCGGCCCAGCAGTACCAAACTTAAAGCACGGCTCTTCCGCATGCGAAGACACTATTTTAGCCCCCTTAAGCACCAGTGGTAGAACGCCTAGGCGGTTCGTATCGACAGATGCAGTTCCATATTAAATTGGAAAAAGCAGTCAACCGCAGGGAGCTGCTAGCCGCGCAGTTGACCGCTAATGCGTAAGGGGACGTAGAGATTTTTATGTATAAGTTCTTGATGCAAAAATGGGCGATCGCCTTTTTTATAGTTAAAGTATACATTTTGGTTCCAGGTGTAGGTAAGACCAGCCTAGTGGTCCGATACATAGGCAAGATGTTCTCCAAGCACATATCGCCCACCATCGGAGCCTCATTCTTCACGTGCAATATTAACCTGGAGAATGCCAGGGTTAAATTACAGGTAATTTCTAAACAAGGACCTTTATTTTCAGCTCTATTGGTTGAAGGACGTCGCGGAGAACCTAACGGGTAACCGGGGCTCCGGCTCGACGTGCAGGAGAAGGAACGGGGTGGTTTTTAGTCAGTAAGAGTCTGACACTCCCTCCCGCCTCACTCAGGCGGAACAGTCATTCGAAGATTTTCCCCGCTTAAAAAAAAAGAAAATTGGTTGAAGAACTAATCTTGAGTAATTCTTGGATCGAGCAAAGCGTTTTTACCTTCAGAGATTCTCAGCTGTAGCATTTTCTTTTTTTTTTTTGAGGGGCAAAATCATCCGATGGCTTCTCCCGCCAGGGTGAGGCGAGAGAGAGTGTCAGACTCTTACTGACTAAAAACCACGCCGTTTTCTCCTCCTTTAAGCCGAAGCCCCGGTAACCCGTTGGCCGTTAGGTTGTCTAGTGGGTTGTACAGCTTCAGTTCCCAACTACATGACATTGGCAATAGGGTCACCCTTTATTACATAGGACTCGTAGCAAAACTGGTGAAATGTTGTTATAAAGGGACTAGCTGCGCTTACCCCGTAGGTGAAAGCGTGATAATATGTAGCCTATATGTTGACCCGACCTGTTAGCAATAATCCTACAAAATTTGAAGTAAATCCATGTAGTACTTTTTGAGATCATCCCGGACATACATACAGACAAACAGACAAAAATTCTATAAACCATATTTTTGGCTTCAATATCGACTGTAGATCACGCCCCAAGTATTCTTTTAAAAAAATATTCAATGTATACTTTTTTACGATTTCATTATATGTATAGATATGACTGAAATAGTTTGAGTCTGATAGAGGAGATTGAATGAAGATTTATGCACTGACCCAGAGTAGCTTAGGGTACCGGAAAGAAGATCATGAATCATAATACAATTGGTAAAAATTGGGTTTATACTAATACCCTGGCCATTGAAAATCTGTGGGTTTCCCTCATCGGCATAGATTTTGTCCATCAACATATTTATTCGGTTTTTTTTATCTTAAAGAGTACGTATGTACTCAACCTCATATTTCGTCGTTTCTTATTCTTATCAGACAGAGGTCGTCAAAACATTCTTTATAATATTGTATGCGTGAAAAAGATTACCTATATTATAAAAAATGTGTGACGTCATAACAATTCATATCAAATACTTTCATTGATAACTTCCGAAATAAAATGGTATAGGTCATAGTTTTATTACAAATTACTACTAAAAAGTTCAATAATACTTTACCGTAATATTTCGGAGGCTCAACGATCTCCTCAAAAGCCCATATCAGGAATTGCTGATGAGCCATAGCTCAAAAAGCCATCAGAACACCACAAATAGGGCTGTGGATAACCTTGATGGTTACCGGGCTTCAGACTCGAAGCAAAAGTAGAGACGGGCTAGATTTATTCAGGAAGAGTCTGACCCCTTAAGATGGTGGAACTGATTTGAAAAATTTCCCCTAAACACAGCCCTTGTCCATCGCTTCCTTAGCTTCTGGTCAGGTTTCATTTGCCCCTATCTTATATCAAAAAACAATTACCTTTTTTTGTTGACGGGGAACTGACAAAAGGCGCATAGCTTTTTGGGGATAAAGACTAGCTAGTATGGGATTTTTACCTCCTCTTGTGGTTGTCTCCTCGACGCCTTCGTCGGGATTGGTCCTCTCACGACCCCGCTAAGTAGACTCCTGGGACATTACAGTCTCACAAAAGGAGTCGAAAGTCAAAGTCACAGTCAAAATCATTTATTTTAATTAGACCAGAAAGGCACTTTTGAACGTCAGCAATAGAAATTTAAAAGTGAAGCTATTTGCTCATTCCAAGGTGTAGATTCCTATGGAGAAGAACGAGCAAGAAACTCCATAGGTTACTCTTTTCAGAATACAATTCTCCAGTTACACAGTTTTATTGGTTCGATTGCGAGAACAATGTAACACCAAAATCCAGTCAAAGAGTTCGAAAAAGAAAGAGAATGAGACCACTTCCCTCCAATTTTCTGTCCAGGTTCCCTCACGATGTTTTTTGTTCACTGTTTATTAGCGATGTCTGAATAATCTTAAGTATAAATATAACTTGGAAAACGTCACATTGGTACTTGCCGTTGGTTGATTTCGAACGCTCACCCTCATGCATGAGAAGCGGGCGTCTTAAATCTAAAAGTAACACCTATACCAAAGTAAAATAACATACAAAATATGTATTAAGTACGTTCATCCGTTATCGCAGTTTTTATACAAACATAGTTTCAAAACATATCGACTACATACTTCGCTATCAGTGCGTCCCCTAAGTAACAATCCGATAATCTCGTTAAACACTTGATTGCTAATACTGAGTATTTTACACTTCAGTAAACTATGTGTATCTTCGTGACATAATATTACGGTTGTTTTAGCGTGAAGGGTAAGCAGAGATGTAATAAAAAATAGCTTATTAGTTTCTTAGTTCTTCTCCATGCGAATTTAGATTGTAATCCGCAAATATTGTTAAATATGTTTCACTGTACTGTCAACACATTTTTTTTATATTTGATGGACCGACGTTTGACCATTATCTCGCCTGGTGGTAAGCGATGATGCGGTCTACGATGGAGCACGTCGACCCATAAGCCCAGGTTATACCCTTCAGGAAATACAGGCTCTGGCAAAGAATTCCACTCTTTAGCAGTACACACAAGGAAGCTTGATGCGAAGCGCTTTGCTTCACACGGACAAATCACTTTAAAAAACCGTCTTTAATATTATAACATACATAATTACATACATACACAACTTCACGCCTGTCTCCCGTGGAAGGCAGAGACTATGGAACGCCAATTGCTACGATTCCTACATACCTCTTTCGCTTCATCAACAGTCATCAATCTTTTCATGCATGCTCGTCGGTTAAGTGTACTTTTAATTTGGCCCTTCTTTAATATATCGCCAATCTGGTCAGTATATGTCTATCTATGCGCCCTCTACCGACGGCCCCATTCATATCCGCCCTATATACTTCTATCGTTACTCTACTTTCATCCATCCTCTCTACATGTCCAAACCAGCGTAACATTCCCTTTTCAATCCTTGTCACTACATCATCTTTCAATCCACACCTTTCTCTAATAACACTATATTTCACTCGATCACTCAATTTTAGTCCACACATACTTCTCAGAGCTCTCATTTCCACCGCATTAACCCGTCGAGCGTCCGCGTTCCTTATGATCCAACGGGTGCACACGAAAACAAGGATCATTACAATAGAAATAAAACAAATACAGTCAAAATAAAAACAAAACATTAATAATAGATTTTATAAAAGAGAAAGCAGCATGGAGCATTTTGTCTTATGATCCACCGGGTGCTCATAAGGACGCTCGAGGGGTTAATCCTGCTTTCATGCTTCTTCTGCCACACCCATGATTCACTACCATACATAAACGTTGGTGCAATACACATACAAATAGATACAATACAATAGTCTTTAATTCAAATGATATCTCACAAAACCATAAGGGAAAAAACCAAGATCACCGACGCGTTGGGACACTCGATGAAACTAAAATGGCGTTGGGCTGGCCACATTGCTAGGTATACAGATAACCGGTGGACTTTCCTCCTAACATCTGCCAGGCCGGGCCAGGCCCGGTAGGCACGAGAAAAAGAGGCAGACCATACGCGCGGTGGACAGACGACATAATCCAAGTGGCTGGCAAACATTGGATGAATATCGCCAAGAACAGGGACAAATGGAAAGCAATAGAGGAGGCCTTCACCTTCGAATAACGCGAGGGGTTCTTACTACAAGCAACGCTAACTGAGTAGGACGTAAAGCCAAGGAAATCTTATTACGTAAAACCAATCTTTTATATTTTTCAATTCTTTGTAAATTAGTAAGAAATATAAGGCTTTTTATTTTATTTTATTTAGTCTTTAATTTAAACCCATTATAATTCCAGGTATGGGATACAGCTGGCCAAGAAAGGTTCAGATCCATGGCGCCCATGTACTATAGGAATGCTAACGCAGCACTACTAGTTTTTGATATAACTAGTGTTAATAGTTTTGCAGCTATCAAAGGATGGGTTAAAGAGTTACAGAGGTAAGATCCTTTTATACTAGTTTTAAGATTCTTTAGAAAATTAATTGTGTAGATAAAGGCTAAGGACTCACAGCGCGATTTTCTCTCGCGCCCGCCGCGAGTGATAAAGATGAAGATAAATGAAAGATATTATGTAAAACATCATTTCACTGCTGTTGAGATTGTTTGCGGCTCCCGCAACTCAACTGATTGTTTAACTGCCCGCCCGTCTTTTTTTTATGGGATAAGCCGGTAAACGAGCAGACGGATCACCTGAGTGTTAAGCACGAATAACTATCGCATGCGTAACGTAATAGCTCAGCGCGTTCGGCGCTCTGATTGGCCGGCTCAAGCGAACCAACCAATCAGAACGCTTAACTCGCTCGATACTGTTACGATACGAATGCGATAGTTATTCGTGATTGGCCCTCTGATGATAAGCAATCGGCGTCGTAAAGCACCTGGAACATGTAAGGCGTTACAAGTGCGTTACCGGCCTTTTGGGATTAGAAATTTGAGGATTGTGGGGCATCCGGTAACCTCACTCACACGACGAAACACAACACAACGTTCTTTCAATTCGGTCTCTTCTGTAAGGCCGCGGTATCACCCCGGTCGAGCCGGCCCATTCATGCCGAAGAATGGCAATCCCACACTTGCGTTTTGGGATAATTAACCGCCAAGTTTGCGAGCGTAGTAGGCGTAGCAATCGCAACCGCGCTGACTGCGGGACTGCAGAAACCTGCGGTCTGTAGTTGCAAAATGCGGTCTGTAAACCGCGATGTGTAGTCATTTGTGGAGGACTGGATGGCAGTGGATAGCACGCGGCTGTCACTGGCTGGACGCATGATCAACAGCCTATAGCTGTCCACTGCTGACCAAAGGCCTCTTCTCACACGGAGACGGTTTGAGCATTTAAAAGAAAGAAAGAAAAAAAGGAAAACCTTTATTTCCCACGCTAAAACATTAAGCACAAGATTATACACATAAGTTTATATATATATATCTACTAATGTCCCAAGTCTACGGTGAAAGGGGACCAGTTCAGCATGTGCAAGACAGGGCCTTGCGCTGGTACTGGTCTACTTCTACTGGTCCCTTTTAATCACAACGCTTGCTCAATATTCCAGGTTCATCAAAGATCAAAAGCCCAGGTTTCCTCACGATGGTTTTCCTTCACTGTTTGTCAGTGGTATCTAGATAGTCTCAGAAAGTACATATAACTCGGAAAAAGTCACATTGGTACTTACTGGTAGTAGGTTTCGGGCCCACACCCTCATGCATGAGAAGCGGACATCTTAGACCTTCGAGCCAGCACGACATATTCCATGATGATGAGGTTCAAATATGTACATTTTCTTCTTTCAGTAATGTTCCTGAAGCTATGGTCTTATCAGTGGTTGGCAATAAGAGTGACCTTGAAGATCTAAGAGCTGTACAGTCAAGCGAGGCAGCGCAGTTTGCAGCCTCTATAGGCGCGCAGTACTGTGAGACGTCGGCTTTACATGATCAGGTAAATATAAGGAGGAAACTAAATAGGGTTGCCACCTTTTATTTTGGTATTTAAAGTACATTGACGATTATAGGTAAGAAAAAAAAGTACACAGTACAAAAATAAAGTATTTAGTATTATATTTAAAAATATACTTTTTATTGTTTTTTGCAGTTTGTATAAAATTAGTATCTTTACTAAACAATTGCATTGAAATACTAAACAATTGCATCTTTACTAGAAATTGTCTAAGTGGCGCTGGCGAGTGACGAAATCGATTCAACATAAGTCGATAATATCGATATCGAATTTTGCAAAAATAAAGTATTTTCGTGTACTTTATTATTGTTATAAAGTATAGAGTACAATTACCTTAAATAACGTACAATACTTTATTATGAAGTACGGGTGGCAAATCTAAAACTAAATCAAGTTATGTCGCCATATAACAAAGACTATGCGACGACGTGCTCCATCGTAGACCGCATCATCGCTTACCACCAGCCGAGATGGTCAAACGACGGCCCATCAAATGTAAGAGGCTCTATGTGAAGCCTCTTACGTGAAGCACTATTTTAAAATCCATGCTATGCTATTGATAGCTCGCAGGTTTGCACGGTGTTCACTTGAAGTCAAGCTCACCCTCTTCAGGGCATACTGTACTAGCTTTTATACATGCAGCCTGTGGGCTAGGTTTGCGCAGAGGTCATACAGCGCTCTCCGTGTTCAATATAATAATGCATTTAGGGTGCTGGTGGGGCTGCCCCGCTTCTGTAGCGCATCAGGAATGTTTGCAGATGCACACATAGACTGTTTTTATGCAACAATGCGCAAAAGGTGTGCTTCCCTGGTGAGCAGGGTGCGGGCCAGCTCCAACAGTATCCTGAGCATGATTGCGAGCAGACTGGACTGCATATACATGGGACGATGTAATGCCATTTCCCATGGATTAATGTAGGATGTATTAATATAAAAACTTTTATTGTACTATAAAACAATTGTGATTACTAACATAGATGTAAGTTTTACTAACATTTTGTGAGTCTTGGTTACTTGAAATAAATGATTTATTATATTATATTATTATAATAAGAAATTGGAAAATCGAAAACTCAATTTGTACTGATGAGGGCTCGGGAATCGAATCCAAAACATCTACAAACCTTTGAAATTCTAGTCTTTAAACCTAAAATTATTGTATAATTGAAATTCTTAATGAAATATTAATACCTACATTGATCTTTTTTTTAATGGAATAAGCCGATAAACGAGCAGACGGATCACCTGATGGTAAGAAATCGGTGTCGCCCATGGATGCTTGAAACACCAGAAGCGTTACAAGTACCAGCCTTTTGGAGATTAGGAATTTGAGAATTGTGAGGGTTTCAAGGATTGGGGAGGGTAATTGGGCTTCCGGTAACCTCACTCACACACACGACGGAACACAACGCAAGCGTTGTTTCACATCGGTTTTCTGCTCGACCGTGGTATCACTCCGGTCGAGCCGGCCCATCAGTGCCGAAGCATGGCTCTTCCACACTTAAATGATGATTAATCCGTCGAGCGTCCGCGCTCTTATGCATTTCCTTATCCTTTATGCATGCAAGAAAATGCATTTATTTGGCCATTGGCACACGAAAACAAGGATCATTACAATAGAAATAAAACAAATACATTCAAAATAATAACAAAACATTAATAATAGATTTTATAAAAGAGAAAGCAGCATGGAGCCTTTTTTCTTATGATCCACCGGGTGCTCATAAGGACGCTCGAGGGATTTAACACAGGAATCGAAACCACGACCTTGAAGTTAGCAATAACACACAATATTAGATTATTTTCACTTAAAACCGTGCCTACTAAAATATTTCCCTTGTAATTTCCACAGCAGGGAATCGACCAAGTGTTTCTGAATACGGCGGCGGCCCTGCTGAAACTGTCTAACTCCAACCTGGTGTCTTCACTGAGATCCTACGACTCCGCTGATGTAGACCCTGATAAAATACCTACAGGTACATTATTCTATTATTTATAAATCATTTCTTTTTTAAACTGCCTCGTTGGCCGAGTGGTCGCAATTGCGACTGCCGGGCAAGGGGTCTCGGGTTCGATTCCCGGGTCGGGCAAAGTATAAATGGGTTTTTAAAAAAAATCTCAGTAGTATCACGGAATCTGGAATTTTGCCCGGTATATGGCAATAGGCTCACCCCCTATTACATGGGACTCATAACATAGTGAAAAGTGGGTGTTACATTGTACAGTGGCATAATGTGCACCCCTTCGGGGATAAAAGGCGTGATGTTATGTTATGTTCTTTTTTAAATCGTTGCCCCACACTAGGATTTCCTCCTGTGTCGTGTGTACGTTTACAAACATACAAGCTCACATACACATGACACACAGACACGGAACAACAATCTGTGGATCACACAAAAAGTTGTTCCGTGCGGGAATCGAACTCGCGACACGTTGCAACTTGTGTGATGTGTGATTGCACTTTGTGTGATCCACAAATTGTTGTGCCGGGTCTAGGTGTCATGTGTATGTGAACGTGTATGTTTGTAAACGCACCCACGACACAGGAGACCAATCATTGTGGGGCAAAATTTAAACTAAAATCAAATTGCCCAGCCACCTCGCCATGCAGTCTAACACAGTTGATCTTTAATGTCTTAAATAAATTATTATATTACTAGCTTTTACCCGCATCTTTGCTCGCGTCACAAAAGGATAAAAAGTAGCCTATGTGACTTAACATCCTTTCAACTATCTTCAGTTAAAAAATCACGTTTACCTCCGTTCTGCCGTTTAAGACAGGCAAACAAACAAATAGCTTTCCGCTCGCGTGGAATTCGGTTATATCGCGCTATTTAGATTTTTCCAATAAGTAGGTAATTCGTTGACTGGTTTTAAATGACATACAGCGCCATGTACACCAATGCATTCAGCGCCATCTATACCAATATTTTTGTTTTCCCTCAGAAATATCAAATTTTTCCGGGATAAAAAGTACCCTATTATTTAATCCAGACTTCTAACTATACGTCTGCATTTCAAAGCAATCGGTTTAGTAGTTACGGCGCTAAAGTGGAACAAACAAACAAACTCACTTTCCGGTTTATAATATTAGTAAGGATTAATCAGTCACCGGTAATGAAAGACTTGCGTGTTCTTTTCCAGGTACCCCAACAGAAGAAGACGCGACTCACACAGGCAAGGTGGAGCTCCCAGCGTGGAGTATAGACAGCATCGCACACGGAGACGTTCAGAAGAACATGTGCTGCTGACCGTGTCATACAGACGGGGTAGGCAGAGGTCATAGTACATACATCTAAAGGCGGATTCAATCTAGAAAGCGCTCTAGACAAGTACTTATACGCGTCCCTAATTTTCTTCACGCCGCAGTGAGCAGTTGTCCACGTCCCTCTATATCCAGCAGCTGTAGCCAAATGCCACTTAACGCTTGTCTACATGTAGAATAGAAAACCAAATGGGGATGATGACAGGGTATGAAAATTAAAAATATAATTAGTCCGTCAGTTAGGTAATGAAAAAATATTAGACACGTATTTTTTTATTTTGTCGTTTATTAAACAATACTTAGATAAAACTAATCAAAGTTTAGGAGTGGGGGCTAAAACATCGTTTCTTAGTTTAGAATGTACATAGAAGTGACGTCACGCGACATTTCAAATCAATATATCTTCCAAAATATTCGTTTCCGTAAGAAAGCTGTAGCTGTAGCTGTTTGTAGCTGTCATTTTAATGATGACATAATATTGAAGCAAAATACGTGTCTAATGTTTTTAAATAAACTACCAGACGGACATTAAAATAAAAATTAGTCATCTACCCTGGAATTGACTTAAATTTTGACACTTGTCAGTGTCATCCCCATACATGTAGTTTTCTACTCTCTCTGTAGACAAGCGCTAAAGTGGCGTTTGGCTAAAGGCACTGGTGTCCTATACACTTGTCTAGTTTACCTTAGGGATAATACGGCTATGTACGTCCCCATTATCAAAAGTTCATTGCTGGACTGTGCTCTCCCAGCGTGGAGAATTATAGAGTAAAGAGATGTTCAGAAAAAATATTTGCTGCATACAATATCATACATACGGGAAAGGCAGAGGTCACAAATATGCACAAAAAACAATATAGAAAACTACTAAAAATAATAATATTATAATAATAAAAATCTTTATTTTCTCAAAATACTCTATGGATACAAATTATATAATATGTTACAATTAAGAGACTGGTGTCTGTTAAAGGTATAACCTGTGTTACAGATGTAATAATGGTGAAAGATAGTGCCTTTTTAACTGTTATGAAGTACTTTTGTAAGTCATAATTTTAAACTCCGAAGGTGTAGACAAAAAATCAAAAAATCAATGCCATGCCATGCTTCGGCACTACTGGGCCGGCTCGACCGGGGTGATACACACAACGAGCAGAAAACTATAGTAAAATATCGTCCATGAGCGAAGCCGATTGCTTACCATCCGGTGAGCCGTGTGCTCGTTTACCGGCTTATTGCAAAAACAAATGTAATAATACTTGCCTGACCCGGAGACTGAATTCGAGATCACGGTGTTAAAAGGATCATACTTGGTATAAAACATTTCGATTATTACAGAAATTGGTTAAAAACTTCCAAACTATGAAATAATACTTTTTTTAACTAATTTTTTTATGAAATGGCAACATTAATTACAAACGCCAATGTCATTTAGCCGTCAAACTGAGTTTATATTTTATCTGGCATTTCAATGATGACATAATTGAGACGCATAGTTCAAATACAAACATTGTTTATAAAGAAAACAATAAAATAATTAAACAATCTCGTTTATTGTGAAACAATCTAATTACGTCATAGAAATAATGAAATTAGATCAACCATAACATTGCATGAATATTTTTTAATTTTAATACGAACAAAGAAAAAAATTGTAAATTGTACAAATATGTTTTTAAAGGGTATTAAGTTCACAATACGAAGGATTTATATACCAGTAACGGTGTATAAAAAGCGACACCATTTCTTGGAATAGTATCTGCATATCTTTGTTTTTGAAGTTGGGTAAGTTTCTGATATGTTTGTCATATAAATATAGGCTCACCCCTATTACATGGGACTCATAACATAAATAGTGAAAAGTGGGTGGTACATTGTACAGGGCTGTAATGGGCACTTCCTCCTTCTGGCATAAAAAGGCATAATATTAATTTTATGATAATAGTACTGATATACGATCACTCTTATGTAGAGGCACAGTTATTATTATTACTAGCTACTTCCGCGCTGTTTCACTCGCTCTGCTCAGCGCCTATTAATCGTAGCGTGATATTTTATAGCCTATAGCCTTCCTCGATAAATGGGCTATCCTACACAAAAGAATTTTTCAAATCGGACCAGTAGTTTCGGAGATTAGCGCGTTCAAACAAACAAACAAAAAAACAAACTCTTCAGCTTCATAATAATACTAGCGGACCCGACAGACGTTGTCCTGCATATCCACTTGAATGTATAAACAAAAATTCATTCAAATTAGTTCAGCTGTTTAGGATAAATAATCTAGACAGTGATTGCAGCGCCATCTGCCGGGCTGATTTGTGAATCTAAACCATTCCCAGATCCCCTTGAACACACACAAAAAATTTCATCAAAATCGGTCCAGTCGTTTGAGAGAAGTTCAGTGACATACACACTCACAGAAGAATTATATATAATTATAAAGATTACTATAGATTATATTGAATAATTGGATTAAAAATAAAACAACATGTGCTCAGTTCGGTTTCACAAAATGTTTATTTTTCTATTTTTTTAACCAGAGAGTACACAAATAACCATAGACACTACTAATTAAACTAGTCTGAATTTTGAGCATATAATAACAACAGTATAGCAATGGATGGTCACACGCTGTTCATGAAGATGATGATTCGAAGTCATATGCTGCAATACTGAAACGTTACTCAATTTTAAGTCGTGCTCAAATATCATGCTGTCTCTGTCATTTTACAAAGAATTTGTAGAGATAGAACTATACTTAAGCGCGACTTAAAATTGAGTAGCGTTTCAGTATTCCAGCATTTAAGTGAGAGAATCACAAGTTTTCATGTGGATTTTAAGTTAGGGAGTCACAAATTTCACACGGCAAAATATGGCGATAAAAAGTACCCTATTATTTAATCTGGACTTCTAACTTTACGTCTACAAAAATTCAAAGCAATCAGTTTAGTAGTTACGGCGTGAAAGCGGAACAAACAAACAAACAAACTCACTTTCCGATTTATAATATTATATAGATAATATTACCTCTGCCTGCTCCTTCGATTAATGAAATTCACTGTCATATTTGTGCGCCTCTACTCAACCTCATTGTGCATATGATATAATACAAAACTATGAGTTCCACCCCTGCCTACCCCTTTTCTGCATATGATATTATTTTGTACTTGTAAAATGTATAGGTCTGTATTATATTAGAAAATAAGAAATGATAATATTATATAATTTATAAGTTTTCTACGTTTTATTATTACTTAATAATGAACTTTAAGTGCACTATGTTTAAGTTAAAATTTACTATAAACTGTAATGAAATGGTTTCCTCAATTATTGTAGTTGTTAAGGTTCATATTTAAATGATAATAATCTTTACACAAACAGGAAAAAATATAGTAAAATGTAATGTATAATTATGTGAACAATTTTGCTATTAATAATTAGGAAACATTCTAGCAAAATAATAATAAGTGTGGGAGAGCCATGCTTCGGCACGAATAGGTCGGCTCGACCGGCGTGACACCACGGCCGAACAGAAAACCGACGTGAAACAACACTTGCGTTGTGTTTCGTCGTGTGAGTGAGGTTACCGGAGGCCCAATTACCCTCCCCTTCCCCTTCTCCAATGTCCCCAATCCCTGAATCCCCAACAATCCTCAAATTCCTAATCCCCAAAAGGCCGGTAACGCACTTGTAACGCCTCTGGTGTTCCTGGTGTCCATGGGCGACGCCGATTGCTTACCATCAGGTGATTCGTCTGCTCGTTTATTGATTTATTCCATAAAACAAAAGATAAAAAGTTACAAAACTATATTGCTAAAATGGTTCCTAGTTAAATCGTTATATTGAGGGACCAAACCACGATTTTACTTGAGACATAGGTCTTCACAGATTAAAAGGCGTGTCGTTTAAAAATTTTTGCATGCCATATGGTAAAATGTATACACGGCCCCATATCAATCTATACAAAACCAGTTTATCCTGGTGTCGCATCATCTTTCCGCACATTTAACGTTCAGTTTATACTGGTTATGTACAGCTCGATGTGTAGCCGTGTGTACTAGGAACGATATACCTTTGTATATTATGTACCTACATTCAATGCAAATAAATTATTCTATTTAATTTTCCAAAATTAGAAAGAATACTGATTATCGCATGGCAGAATATTTGCAGTTATAACAAAGATATAGTCAAAAGTCATTCTTAAAAAATCCAAAAGCAAAGTACTTGTTTCTCTTGCCACTATAAAATAATAAAAAAATGCTCAATTATTTTTTAACTTAACTTTCGTGAGACATAGTAAATTAATTATTATGTTTTCGGCTTACTCACGTAGTAATTTGACGAGGAACTCGACTAGTTTCAAGCCATGCTAGAGGCTCATATTCATGAGCAGCATTCCGCGACCCGCGACGCGGCGACTGTCGCGCTGCTACTGAATGAATATGCTATATATGAGTTCCTCGTCAAACAGTTACAGGATTAAGGAGAAAACATAATTATTTTTAACTGTTATGTTTATATACAAGGTATTGTTTTAAAGCCGCGTCATTTTCTAGGAGGTAACTCGGCTATCGATTCTGATTCCGAATCAATAAAAAAATTTTTAGATAAATTTTTTTTTCTGAAATTACGGAAATCCGTAAGTGCGAATTGCACGCCGCCGTCTTGTAACTAGCTTTATAACGCGGCTTAACACACACAAACTCAAACACGTAATTGATATTATTCCTAATTCCATAAAACTTCAATAAGAAACAATGCTGTCGCTTATTCTGAAATACTGTCGAACTTAAACGATTTATTGTAGCCGTATTTTTAACTATTGGCCCGAAATTTTCTCTTACATTGAACGTTTATGACTTCTGTGACATGCCCCCGAGAAATGACCCGGCTTCAAAACTACACCTTGTATAATATATTTTTTTTAAATAACAGGGTATTATATTCATTTGATAATGTATTGAAATTGTGTGTAGGGTCTAT